TAATTTCTTTAAGTCACAAACAAAAATTTATTTCATTTTTAAGTAAAAAAATCATGTCACAAAATATTGTTGTTTAAATAAAACTATAATAATATATTTACGGTTGAAGATTTATAATAAAAAAAACTACTTCAGATCATGTAGCGGTTTCATAATAATATATTCTAAGCCTCAATTCTTCGTTAGAATAAAATAAAATAATTGATAAACAGTTTTAAGCAATTAAATAACAATCCTTTAATACTTTCAATCATGTAAATGAATGTGAAAAGTTTTGGAAAATAGTTCTTATATAGTCACAACATATTTGTCCGCATCAATTAATGCATTCTATAGCACCACTTAAAATGACACCGCTATAGCCAAGACACGAAATATATATGACATATAAGGGGGTTCATTCATAATGAAACAGGGCCTCGTGGACAAGTTCACCATGCACATGCCTTTGATATCAGTTTATAGTTCTGTAATTACCATAAAATTTATATTCAAAAAATAATAAGAATTGAATTATAATCTTTCCGAAACATTTAAGACCAAGAACGTATTAGGCGGCAAATTAGAGAATATTTAATGGACTAATTGGTGATTTGATCTATTTACTTTTGGCGAAAGTCTTTTTGTGAAAAATTTACTTTTTTACCTCGAATATTGGTAAATACTATTCATAAAAATGAACACCCCTCCAAATGCATATTTTTTCTGTTAAATATAAACACGTACGGTAATTGATGCTTACTTTATTTATATGTTAATAATGTGATTATATCACACAATAAACAAGCTTTTCTATGTAATAAATGTGATTACATATATACGATTTCAAACACTTTGCAGAATAATAATAATAACAATAATAATAATAATTTTTATATGCAAAAGTCACAGTTATTTGTGCGTTTTAAAATAAAAAACAGAATTTTAAGAGTTAAGGCCCAGTTAGACGGTAGGTAACGTAAGAACTTAAGGAGAAACGAAATGAAAATATTAGTGCTGTTCACATTATTCGAAGTTTTTAAAAATTCGAAGTTCTTCGAATATTCGAATATTCGCATTTCAACGAAGTCTTCGAAGTTGGAAAAAACTTCGAAGTTTTTGTGAATTTTTGTTCTCGAAGTCTTCGAAGTTTAAATGTAGTGAAAAACTTCGAAGACTTCGAAGACTTCGTAAGCAAAAGGTGAAGTGAGAGCGCACAATGCAAACAAACGTGCATCACACAAATTATTTGAGGGATGAAAGCGTTTGCTTTGTTTGTACGGTTTTATGTTTTTGTTGTTATTCTATGCAGAAAATTAAAAACATGTTTTTTTGTTTTATTTTATTACATAAAATTTATTTTTTTATTTTATTATTAAATATGTATTATAATACATATTATTATTAAATATGTTATTATTAAATATTTTTTATATTAAATAAAAAATTCACATTTTAAATAACTTATATTTATTATTTATATTTAAAAAATTATATTTATGAAAATTTTTAATATAATATAAAATACATGAAAATTTGATGGAATTTCTTTTATACAATTTTGCTTATACACTAATTTACATTTTATTTAGATACTTCCTTATAATATTATGTATTTCTTTTCCTAGAATAAGGGATTTAAAAATTTTCCATAAACAGTAAAATAACTGTAACTACAACAAAACATTCAAAATTTTATAATGCAAAAATAAATTTGCGCTTACCTGCGTGATCATCACAGCTCATACAGGTCAAATAATTAGGCATTAATGAGCGAAACTCATTTTTCCATAACTAATTTTCAAGGTTTTAATTTGTGATTTTCTTTTTAAAGGAAAATGAAAATTTTTATAAAATTCCATTACTAATAAAATCCATCAATATCAATATTTTCATATTATTACGTATATATTTTATATTATATTAAAAATTTTCTCAAATATGATTTTTTAAATATAAATAATAAATATAAGTTATTTAAAATGTGAATTTTTTATTTAATATAAAAAATATTTAATAATAACATATTTAATAATAATGTATATTATAATACATATTTAATAATAAAATAAATTTTATGTAATAAAATAAAACAATAATATTTCTGCATAGAATAACAACAAAAAACATAAAACCGTACAAACAAAGCAAACGCTTTCATCCCTCAAATAATTTGTGTGATGCACGTTTGTTTGCATTGTGCGCTCTCACTTCACCTTTTGCTTACGAAGTCTTCGAAGTCTTCGAAGTTTTTCACTACATTTAAACTTCGAAGACTTCGAGAACAAAAATTCACAAAAACTTCGAAGTTTTTTTCAACTTCGAAGACTTTGTTTACTATTCGAATATTCGAATTTCTTCGAATACTTCGTAAATTCGAATATGAACAGCACTAGAAAATATCGCTGAATTAAGTCGGTGTTAGACGGTAAGCAAGCAGCTGATTTTGTTTACATTTGAACATGTAAGCAAAATATTTTCAAAAGTTCCAGTTGGAAGTTTTGTCCGTAATTTCTATATTTTCTTCATACGAAAATATTTGTAAAGCGAAATAATTAAAATGAGTAAATTATTGTGAAATGTGAATAATCGAAATGAGTTGACTGTGCAGGTTTGTAATATATTTCTAAACATATTGCGGTGGTACAGCAGGAGAAATCAAAAGCGCAATAGAAGGTGGCGAGTCCGTTCTATTAATGTGGATCGTGCTCTACATGGTTTTTACCGGACAACGTTTTTAGCCATAAAAGAAAAGATGATGAACAATTTTTCGTCATACACGGATGTCTAAAGAAATATATACTTTATTATCGAACTTAATAGCTCCTTCTGCGAAAAAATTTGAAAAGCAAATAAACGCTGATGAACATTTATCACTTACTCTTAAGTGTACTGTTTTATTAGTAATTTTAAAAAAAGAAGTTCTACAGGTGTAGACGCTACTTCGTCAGATGAAGTCAGCCATGGACAACATTGTGATGACATTTGTAGCAATGTAGGCGTCACACTCAATTCTTCAGCTATTTCCTTCCAAATTGCATTTTTCTTGTCATTATTTTTAAAGTCATTATGACTTTTGTCGTATAGATTTGAATTTTTTTCAACTCGATCAATTAATTTTTCTTCATTCATTTTTTTAAAACTGATAAAAAAATTTAAAACCTTCAGTCTTTTAAACAGAAAAATATCTTTTTATTTATTTTAAAAAAATTTATGAAATTGATCCAAATTTAAGACTTTCTTAATTTAATTTAATTTAAAAATTATATATAAAACAGTAGTTTTTTAATTATGTTTGTTACGTTTAACAACTTTTAACTGCAATAAAGAAAAATAGCACACCCACCGTTGACAAGATTTCACGAACAACCGAACATGTGAACAAAATATTTTCAAAATCTCCGCGTAAAATAATCACGAAATTATTTTATTTAAAATTGAAGACAAATTGTTAATGACATTATCTTTCATATGTTAAAACATTTTTATTTCCTATAAAATAAATTGCATTATAAGGAAAAGAATCAACTGTAAACATTAAAAGGTCCAACCGGTAGTTGCTTGTCCGCCAGTACAGTGAATTTCTATATTTCTATAAATATTTTTTGCACGAAATTACTTTTAAAGTAAAATAATTAAAAATATTTCTTGTGAATTATTTTTATATATGACTAATATCTATTATATTGCTTATCTCAATATTTTTTCATTATATATTTTAAAATTGCATTTTTAATATTATTTATTATTATTAAATAAGTAAATAAGTATTTCTCTTCAATATTTATTATAAATTAAATACTTTCTACTGACTATTGATCAATATATAAGATATTATTGATTATTGATAAAATAAAATATATATATATATTATTAATATTTTCACCTATTGTACAAATTTTATTAATAAAATAAATTGATTAAAATATTTTCTGCTGATTATTTTCGTTATATGGAAATCCAATCAATATGTAACAATATCAATAAAATAATTAAATGAAAAAATATTAGTTAGAAAACAAATTCATAAATATATTAAACCTCTAGTTGTAATAAACATAACCCGCACATCATTGCAACACACCCACCCTCATCGAGGTTTCGCGAGCAACTCAGCACAATTTTTAAATTTGCCAAACTTCAAAATCTAATTGAATTTGATTTTTCTATTTTGTTTCTAAAGGCTCAGTTAGACAGTAGGTAACGTAAGAACTTAAATCAAAGCAAAATGCACAACCAACCAAATGTGTATGTTCGATAGAAACGAATTAATTTCCTACGTTACCTACCGTCTCACTGAGCGTTAAGTTCGCCGCTTTTGTTTATTTCGTTCCTATCAAATACGCAGGTTTAGTTGGTTAATTTCTTACGTTACCTACCGTCTAACTGGGCCTTTTACTTCTGCGCGAGAAAATAAAATGCACATAAAAAATTTGATTTTTGAGAAATATAATATAAAGCAAATTTAATTATTATTTATTGAATTTTATAAATTTTATGTCCATAAATAAAAAGTATGCATAACATGAAGGATAAAAGTTGAGTTTAGACAATTTTTTGTTGATGCTTTTCATTATAAAAAAATTTTGTAATAACTGTAATTGTCGGTCCCTGGGAACTAATAGAATTTAAAAACTATTTGTGGTTTGTGTACAAGCTAAAGAAAATATTTATGACTTGTGCAGAAACTTTGATTTGTGTAAAAATTAAATGATTATATGGTTATGTTTACTGTCTCTATCAGCTGAATATTAATGATAAATGACATTATAAAATTTGTTATATTATATGTTTTTGTTATTGTAGGTTTTATATATAGCATAACAACTACCGCTCTGAGTCAATTGAGCCTCTGTGTATCCATCGCTGTGCCATATAATTAATATTGAATTAAAATAAATTGAAATGTGCACTTTGAAACTTTTGTTAGATTTGAATGAAAACATTCTTAGACGTGCAAGTGTCATAGTAGTGAACTATCTAATAAAGTTCATTGAATGCAAGTCACAATAGTTAAGTTCATGACACCTGTCAAAATTGTCACTAATCAAAGTTATCACTGACTGCTTTTTTTTGTGTTGAGGCTGTGTTGAAAAGTTTAACACCTATTTTTAATAGGAGCAATATGAGTGACATGGAACCAATTAATACTGAGGTTGTTAAATAAAATATTCTATTATAACATGAGTGTAAATTTCAAGCCTTATATAGATCTCGACAGATGCAAAATTGCAAAGTATGAACGCATCGGATAACGTCCTAAAACTATGTGAAAGTGATTCTAAAAAAATGCAGCCCGAAAAGGAAGTGAATGCTAATAAATTAAAAGTAAATGTGGCAATCAATTTATATATATATATATATATTTAATTATTATGTTAATAGCCTATTGGATCATCAGATGAACTTTATGCGCTTTTGCAAAGACCACCTAATAACGAGTCGCAAGTTAGTTTTGAAGATGGAGAGTTATTAGTAAATATAAAGCACAATTTATTTAGATTTTCTTATAAAAATATTTCTGCAGGACCCTGTTTCGTCAGATGATTATGAACCTTTGCAACGTCAAAACACTGAATTCTCAAAAAATAATTTCTTATCTGATAGTGAGAATTCATCTCATAGTGAGAATTCATCTGATAGTGAGGATTCATCTGATAATTCATTTGGCACTCTAAAACCTTTAAGAGTTGAACAAAAAGTTCAGAAGAAGCGTCCTATTATGGTACGTGTTAATACGCCAAATGAGACAGGCACAAAATTTAAGAAAAATAATATTTGGGTAGAAACATTAGAAAAAGAAACCCTTAACGAAACAATGCGATCGATAAACGTTTCTTCTGATTTATTTAACAAAAGAAGTGTTGAAAGTTATCAATATCCAAGAAACCTGAAGCGAAAAGGTAGATTTTCAAGAAATGACTTTCATTGTCATCGTTTTAATTCGAAACAGCGTCGTACTGCGAGCAATAAAAAACAAGATGACGCTTTCGATTTTAGTCGTTTGAAAAATAAGCCTCCACATAATAAAAAAAGGTATATACGTGATCTGAAGGACGTAGAAGGGCGTGATGTGGCCGATATAGCCAAAGAAATGGCCAAAAACCTTCATGAACGGAAATCTCATTTAATAGGTAATTGATGAATAAGATTGAATATAATTTAATATAATTTACGATCCAAAGTCAATAGGACTTTTTTCGAAATAACAATTTATAGTCAGACTATCTTTGTGTAATTACACATATCGGTAAGAAAGATTCTATATTAAAGTACTATACATGTTTTAGTTGTCTTTTTTGGTCAGAGTATAAACAACATTTTTAACTCTGGTCTCACAATCGTGGTCATTATTTGTGATCGCGTTCGCTATGGCATTCGAAGTCACTACACCAACTTAACTGTTCGAATCTAAAGAATTTGACATCGTGTAGCTCTTACTGATATTCTGAAGACAACACGTGATTTTAACAACACATTAGTGAAGAATCTACCTTACCGATGCAATTTAATTTGCAATATCAATATTTTAAAAGTCTCAAACACCAAGAAAACTAAATCAGTCTATATTTATTGACTTTATTCAAATAACTTAAGATTCAGATTATCGGGTGTATATTGTAATAAGATTATATATGCATTTTATGAATGATTTCTCTAAAAAAACTTAAAATATCTATCATATACTTTCAGAACGAATTTTAACTATATTAGGTTTGGAGATTCCTATGGATATATATAAAAAAACACAGGCTATAGAAGAAAAAGATGGAATGATGATTTTGGTAAGAACAGTTAATATATTTGCTGGTTTATTTAATTGTTAAAATTCTCCTACATTTTACAGAATGGAAAACGTAGAAGAACATCTGGAGGAGTATACTTTTATCTTGTCAAAGGCGACGAAAGAATTTCAGAAAAGATACGTGATGAAATATTTGAAGTCGATAAGCAAAGAAATTCCAAATGCACTGAATCAATGAATAATGAACCACGTGATCGAAAAGTAGAAGAATGTTTAGGAGACCACGAAAATTTTCTTCAAGGTTCTGATTTAAGTACAGAAAATAAAAGTGGTGATTGTAAGTATATAAATATGTTCTTTTAGTGAATTACATATTATATTTATATGCATATTGTAGTGTCCAATCCACCTCCATTACAGTTTGGTGATGATAATAGTTCCAATGTTGTACCTGAAGTAAACTTGAAAAGTTCTGTTCCTTCGCCGGTTACACAAAATAATGTTTCAACTGAACCAGAGTATTTGGATAATATTGACTTTAATTACAAAATGGATTTGTCTTGAACAAATATACTGAATAATGATAGAACAAATTAGATATAATTAAAAATGTTTTTTTAAATTTATATATAAATTTATATAAAAACCAAGCTATTAAAATAAAAAAAAGTACATAATTTATTTTAGTTTTATTATTTAATCTCTTGGTACTCCAATAGCGTTTTCGACTGGTACATCTGGGGTAACTTTTTTTATTGAGATTTACAAACACAACTACAAAACTTTAAGTTACTCTAAAAACGTTCGTTAATTTAGAAGACTCTAGATATTACCTAGAGTCTTCGACTTCACTCCAAAATATTGCTTATGGAAATCCATCCCTGCTCAGAACGAATTTTCAATTTTGATATTCGCCATTTATTTCATTTATTTCTTATGAGGTGAACATACCACAAATAAAGGATCCATTAATTACAAGTGGACAGCTTCTTGTTGTAAGTAACTTTCAGATTGGATTCTACGAACTTGACGAATTTAAAACAATGGAAGAGGTCAATGGCACTCCCAAACGTTTTGATGATTTGATGAATTGTATCGCAATGACGTTAGTATTCTTTACATCTGTGAATGATATAGTTTCTAGCAAGTATAAAAACAGTTCTGTACTTGCTACAAATTCTTATGACTTTTATATCATTTTTTTGGTGCAAGTGTATTGATGAACGTATATTTCATGCTTTGAAAATAATGGAAATGGAAAATCAGGGACTAGAGAGACAATACAGAAATATGAAGAATAATTTACAGGTAATATTGGAAAACAAGTAATGTGAGCAGGAATAAATAACCTGGAAAAATATTTAATATAAAAGTTATTAACTCCAATTTATTTGTTATTTATTTCATAACTGTAGGCTTGATTGTATGGGATTCGTATGTATCTGTCGACATAAGAAACTAACTAATTATCATTTTATTTCCAATAAGGCTTTTGGTAGCGTTTCTCAAAAATGTTATGAAGCAGATCATTGCGATTGTGAAGATGAACTTAGTCAAGTGAATCTAGTCTGAATTTGACAATCAAAAACACTATCCATAATTTTAGGGAAATTCTACTATGTACTCAATAAAAATAACTAAATAACTTAATTTAATTGAATACACAGTATTAAATGAATGAATATGTATATATTAAGATTGTAATAGGTATCATATCATAGGTATCATGATTTATTTTTTATTGAGTGTTTCCTTCGTCTCCATGTTAGGTCGATCCACACCGGTGTAGATGTTTGGCCACATGCCTTCACTCTCACATTCTAACAGTGGTCTTGCTAGGCGTAAGCTTCGTATGTCTGAAGTTCTCCTTTGGGTTGAGCCCAGATCTTGAAGATCAGGAGGTTGCACTATATCATCAGACAGGTAGTCGATACCCGCTTCTTTTAGAAGCTTTTCTATTTTATCTTTACACTGAGAAGGGTGTTGTAACTCACGTTTTTTCTTCAAAACACCTGGAGCACGTTCTCCACTCAGCGACATTCTGTATGAAAGAAACGAAACAAAGTTATATATGGTATTATAAATTAACTTGAGTGAGTGTCTACCACTTCATATAATTCGGTCATTAGATTTAATCTATATATTTCTCATTCAATGCGGTAAACGATAATTTAAAAGTTAAAACATGTATTTATTTTCTGTTGATTTGATATTGAAGTATTGCAATTAGCGTATTTTAAATTTAAATGTAGTCTCCGACTAAAGTTCTTGTATGGACTTGCAACTAAATTTCGACTTAAACATATATAATACTTTTTTCCCGAAAAATAGTAATTGAAATATTTATACACATACCTCATGAATGCATCAACATTTGACAAATGGGTGGTAGATGGTGGGGTTTCAACTGGTATATCTCTGAAAAAAAATTATATAAAATTATAATATTACACTTAATACATTTAAAAAATGAAGAAAAAAAATATAGATTATTAATCAATAAATACTTCATACTTATTAATATACTTTGCACGAGCTGTTTCGATTAACGACTTTTTATCGATATTAGGAGTAATTACACCTTTTTTGCCGTGTTCCTCCTCTAACATCTCACCGTAACCATTATTTTGAACCCGTTGTGCCTAATTAGTGAATTAGTGAATTTTTAAGAATTAAAAATCTTTATCTTTCACAACTATTTTTTAAAACAGCGAATTATTATTACAGCGAATATTCAAGAAATAAATACCTGAACGGCAGCCAATTGTTTAGATGACATATTCATTGCTATTTCGGAATAATCAGACATTTCCTGAAATAATATGAAAATAATGCACTTTTATATCGAATATAACATTTATTCAGATCTTTGTTAGAATGCAATTAATATATTTTATATAAGACAAATTTGAATATTCGATAAAAAACACCTTCAACAACGGTCGAAAGCTCTGCTTACTAAAAACACACCTCTTATATTGTTGCACTATTATTTATATTTATTTGTTATTTAAATTTAATGAAATTTTATTTAAAAAATAATAAATTAATAATGAATTATCTTGAAAATGTACTTACTATGAAATTTTCACAAATCAATTCACTTGCATAAGAAAAAATTTTGTAAGTCAAAAAATTGACAGTGCAATTCAATTTTTGACAATCAGGGTTTTGTTTAAAATTTTAATAGGGTACTCCCAAAAACTCCCAAAAAGTCCCAAAAACTCCTAAATGTCTTTTATATTACTAATATTCTGGCAAATATCTTGAAACTTGAAGTTTCTGCTTCATGCAATTCGCCGTGAATAGTAACTGTGCAGCAGCGCAGATGAGATGAGTATGAAATAGATAGAAATAGAGCAAGCAGTAGCTCTAGAGGTATGCTGTAGGTTTGTTTAGTAGGTCTAACAATGGAGTACAGAAATAAAGAAACAATGTTTTTTTTGTGTAATTTTTTTTTTGCGATATGTAAAGTATATTGATTATCGGAATTAATTTGAGTAGGAAAAGATAAGAAAGGAGGAGTTAAAAATTTTTTAGATTGGTTAGAGCTTTTAGGTTTTCTTTTTGTTATTAGAAAAAGAAAAAAGAAAAAAGAATTAGAATTTTATAATTAGTGTGGAGTTTTTTTTTGTTTTCTTTTTGTTATAAAAATAAATGAAGAGGAATTAAGATTTTATATTTATATTTGTTTTTATATTTAAATATGTCAGCGGTGGTAACTAAGTGTCAAAAACCCCATCCCAAAACCGGCGACCATACCAGCCCTGTCACCGTGTCATGCTAGACACCTAGTACCACACCAATGACAAGGCTGATACAACATAATTTCAATAAAAAAAATATTTTTATTATTTGCTTAACTGCAGCTGGTGGCATAAGTTTTGTAATTACTAGTACTTACTACTACTTACTACTTATTACTAGTATTTACACATAATATTAATATACAACAACTTATTTATTTATTTCATTTATTTATTTATTTTTTATTTATTTTATTTTATTTTATTGTATTTGATTTTATTTATTTATTTGTTTGTTTTATCTGAAAATAATTTAAAAATTTACATAAAACACATACATTTAAATTAATAACATTTTGAATAATTAACTAGAATTTTTATTATATATTTTAATTAAATGTTTGTAATCAATTAAGACTTTTACGTACCTTATATTATTTTCATTATATAGTTGTATTTATTTATAACTTTATTTTGTTTAATGGAGCAAATAATATCTATATTAATTCGCAATACCAACGCAGATGTGTTTATATATATAAAAAAAACTGAAAAAAAAACTTTGTGCTTTAAAAAAAATTTCTTTGATAGAGTCTTCGCTAAAGATAAGCAATTTGCTACAAAAAATTGTCGCTCTAAGGGGAAAAACGGAAAAAATTCGAGTATCTTCAAATCGAATTTCTTCAAAAAGATGAAATTTCTTAAAAAAAAATAAAAATTTTCGTTAAAGAAGAGAAATTTGCTTTAAAGAGATTCACTTCAAATTAGTTCATATAATCGAGCCATAACAGGGCACTGTAGACTAAAATACCGCCTTACGAGACTAGGTATATATACAGAGGCAAACTGTAGAGTCTGTGAAGAGAATGAAGAGTCAGTCACACATGTGCTATTAGAATACCTTGCATTAATGCAGAAACGGATTAGATTCCTGGGTATATATATTCTTAGAGAAGAGATAATAAAACTATGTAAAGTAAGTTTTATACTACTTTTTATTGACGCAATAGGGTTTAGAGAGACCTACTTTGAACCTAGAAGGGGGCAAAATAGACCCGACGGTCGCTGTGCCACATATCCTAACAATAATATAATATAATAAATAGTTCATATAAACAAAAAGAGAAATCTGAAAAAAGTCAAAATGACTTCAAAAGAAATGTGGTAAAAGTATTTCTTACAAGTGTACTTAAAACTGTTCGTCAAACATATGTTTTCCTATAGCTGTCTTTGCGTTATAGAGAAGTTTGTCTGTGCTAATATTAATTTGTAATTAATTTATTAATATTTAATTTATAAACAATTTAAGCATTTTCTTTCTTTTTTTTTAAATTTTACAAAGAACTGCTTCATTATTTATTCAATTTTGTTTTAATCCTTTTTATAGTATTTGTTAAGATATACAAATATGTGTACAATATATGTATGTGTATATATATACATAATATATACATACAATATATAAGTCTACATTATAGACCAAGGCTGTCCAGACTATATAAGACCGCGAGCCAATTCGAATTACTGAATAGGTTGGATGGCCGCAGATATAGATACATACGTTCATAATTTTGCGGGAGAAAAATAAAAATAGAGCGATAATGTAAATTTAGTTTTTCTATCAATATTAACATTATTAATATTAGTTGTGACCATAAATAAATTATGGTCATATAATTTATTTAAAATAAATTATTTAAAACATTTTAATTAATTTATTTAGAATAACATAAAAATAAAATAATGTAATGTTACCAAAATATAAGAACGAAAAATTTGCCTACTTGAGGTGGATTAGATACATGTCGCGGCCTGCACAAATATTAGCCGTGACCTCATGA